TTTTTAGTATACACGTGCAATAAATGCATAAGCCAGCAGTCAGAAGTGCCGACACAAACAGTCTGACAATAGACATGCAGTCGATGGAAGCAGCAGTTGAACATATCAGTAGTTGCACACGCAGTAAGTTTGATTTTGGTGTCACGAGTATCGACAGAGGCAGATTAGTTGGTGCTGCAGCCCTTGGCGGTGAATCAGTAAATGTCAAGCACGATGTGGGCAAGATCTTTTGGGAGCGAGTGTATAGAGCAGAAGCACAAAACAGGTCGTTAAGGTCTGTACATAACGGTGCAGTGGGCAGTGACTCGAGGGTCTAGTGGACACACAACATCAAATCGAGGTAACAACCAATCAGTCAACCAACCATTCAACACAACAGCCAACAAACCAGTCAAGCAACCAATTTGCCAAGCAGATAACCGACAAAACAACCAACCATGATGCAACATAACATCAACACCAACAAAGACACTCTGAATGTCCTTACTTCCAAACAGATCCCTTTCTCACAGCAAACGCCAGGGAACTCGGGAAGAGATTCTCCCCATAGAGCATTAGATTACAGTTCCTTCTGGCAGCGTATTCAGCGCTAGCCGTCTCCATGATCATGGCAAAGGTCCCCTTGGAGCTGACGACTCGTTGCACACCCTATGGGATATAAGTCAACATTTCTATGAAACTGAACGGCTGCAAGCAACAACATTACCCATTTTAGATCTCTGACTTTTCTTCTTATAGTCCATGCCGTGCGCGTTGGTAGCCATGTCTGGGCCGCGTTAGCGTAGTCAATAAGAGACTCGCTTTCAAATCTAGCTGCGACTGGCTGCAGCCCACGGCCTGTGTTCGAAACTGAGCAGTTCCAGGTGTTCACCCAGCCTCTAGGTAATGGGTACCAGAGTTAACTCTCTGGTGTAAATGAAGGAACGTCGCTGAAGCTACAGAGTTCCGCGCGGACGGCGACCCAGGCGGACAATTTCTTATCGGCTGTCCGTACTGGTGGCAGAGCACTTATGGTTTATAACCGTGTGCAATGACGCTTGTTTACATCTCCCGTCTTTACCTTTAGCGATGTCTATCCACAACATTTTGTTTCGTGTACTTTCAACAGATTATTTTCCATGTCGTAAAACTGTCCATTTTCTCCTCTCTCGGTCTCCCTCTGCCTCCTTTCCCCTCCAACTGTCCCACCGTCACGATACCTTCGTCTTATCCATCTAATCACATGAGCAAAGAATGTAGATTGTCTCCTTGTGATGTTGGTTATCGGTTCATTTTTTTTTTTTTTTTTAATGTGTTTTTCAAGACATTTGTATTCCAAGAAAATTGTCCATGACCTGACAGATAGACGACAATCAGGTTTGACACTGCTGCCACCAGATGAGTAACATCCGGGATGTCAGTCTAACAAGACCAATTCAGATAAGGCATTCAACCTTTAGAGAAGTTATCATGATTACAGTAATAACGGCTAGTTACACCGAACTCTTCTTGCTTTTGTAGGCTAAATCTGTCTGAAAAAAACCACAGTGGAAAAGAATGAATATATTACTTTCAAAATGGCAATATATGGTTAGCTTCATGATAAAACTGCCAGGTTTTTCTACTACGTTTAGACTAAACTTAAAAGATATAAGTAGGCACGATTACAGAAAAGGTGTGTCACTATGTAAGTTGGAGCTAATCAGTGTTGCCACTTTGGATGTTTTACATTCAGATTTAGATGTTTTTTTCTTGCATTCAGATGGCGTTTTTGACGTTTAGATGGTAGACATTTTTCTAGACGTTTTTATTTAGAGTGAATTTATCAAATTTCACCTAAGAAGCAGGATGACATTTGACCTCTTAAATGCTATGTTGACAATAAAATTCGGCCTGATAAGAGTAGGAAAAGGCTGTTGCACTTATCAGCTCCCTTATTGGGTATAAAAGAAACTGGAACAGCTAAAGCATACCAGAGTCATTTTCGAACTGAAGCTTCAACTTCATCACCCAAGCTAAGTTTTTCCTGTAGATCTTGTAAGGCAGACTTCAGTAAAGATGAGCACATGATTCTATAAGGTAAGTCATATCAATTGCTATGTAATTTGTGACTCTTTTCATTTGGATGTTTTTCTAGATGTTTTCCACACAAATTCAGATGTTTTTAGATATTTTTTGACTCCGTTTTGGATGTGTTTTTTTTTTTTTTCAAAGAAAAGTGGCAACACTGGAGCTAATGTATCTGACAGGGCCCTTTCATGAACTGACGTCGAGTAAGATGAGGCTTTAACTATCATCAACAGCATCATCATGTGCCGTGTCGATAAGCGTGGGTTGAAATGTATCGCCATCTTTAAAGATCACCAGCATCACGAATCAGGTCAATGTTCTTGTGTCGCCTTATCAATTTGATCACGCCATTCAGATATTTATCTCTTTGAATTCCACTTGCTCCCTTTCTATATATCTTACTAGTTATTACAACGTTATCGAGTGTGCTCCTTTTCGTAGCATCCCCCAGCTCCCCACACCACCCGTACACACACAAAACTGTCTACGTCATAAGTCTGTGATCAGTTTATCACTTCCATCTGTCTCCATGAAGACTGCCTGATATGTTTTTCTATCTGTCTATGAAATTTTTTGCATTCTTCTCAAAAACCACATCTCCTCTGTAAGTAAATGTGCTTGCCGGCTTATTGTCCAGTCAATCACGTGCCATCTCCAGGATGAAGATTAGCTGCAAAGAATCGCCTATACTCCTATCCTCCCCCCCCCCCTCTCCCCTTTTTTCCCTTTTTTTTTTTTGTTTGTATGTGTGTGGGTTGTTTTTGTTGTAATTCACTCTCTCGGATTGCTCTTCCTACATTTTTTTTAAAGTTGTCATCTCGCTTCTTTATATTATGTTATCACAATGGACGTCTTTGAACACTGGGCATCACCATGAGTGATCTGTCCTCCGATGCAGCAGCCACTCTATTTCTCACTTGTATCATGGTCAACATTATGCTTCTTGCCTACGACTTGTCCCTCCAGTACGGTTTTTAAAAAAGCTTTATGTTTGTAATGTCTTTTACACACACACATACGCTCACACATACACACAGAAATAGCAAAAAAAAAAAAAAATAATAATAAGAATTGGTAAATAACAGAATTAATTGGCAAAGGTGGGAAGGTTGCATGTTGAACTGTGCAAAAAATAAATGAAATTGAAAACTTGTTACTTGCTGGTTGAAGGCCGAAGCTTCATGAGGAGATAAATAATTAAAAAAAAAAAAAAAAGCAGAATGATGAGAATTGTTCATCTTTACCCACACAGGACTATAGGTTACATCAGGCTGGTGCAACCGCTACGGGTGTGCCCCAATTGCTATTTATTGTGATGTTGAACAGGGAATTTGGAATTTGAGTTGTCGGTTAGCCATGCAGGGTGAGATATTCATTGCACGAGCATTCATTGTCATCAATGCCATGCGCTGCACTTGCCGTACTGAGGACATGACTCCTTATCCCTGTCTAGACTGATGAACATGGGGTTGCAGCCTGGAGCTGCAAATAATGAACATTTCACTAAGGGGACAAGACGTTTCATTAACCAACACAGAACAGGCGTCATCATTCGTTTTACACTTGTGGAGCTTTTGAGGAGGAGATCGGAGCACCTATGGATCTTTCCGGAGTGCTGTGATAATCCTTTCTAATCACTATATTCATTATCAGGATATCCAAACGTTCATAGAGCAGCCAGGAGGAAGTAACTGACTGAAGCAAAGAAGAAGAAAATGAAGCATTTGATTTGAGAAAGGATTTATTTGATTTTCAAAAGGGGTGGACAGGACCTGCCAGTTATCTAAACCACTATTGTCCTTCCATATGGCCCTCAAAACGCCATACTAACAAAAAGGGAGACAACTAATACTAACCTCATCATAACTGTTTACCCAAGAGTTCTGTGCGCTTATCTTTGTCCATAATGATTTGAGAGTATCACTGCGGCTCTTTCTCAACAGGTTCTGAAAAAGACAGTTGTTGATGAATTCAAAGTCCACGAATGGAACAAGGAATATAATAAACTGTTGTGGTACCACGTGAACAACGTTCCTTGGTAAGTGACGACTGTGTCGAATACCACCTGCGTATTCTTTTTCTCCTTCTTCTTCTTCGCGTTCACCATCTGTAAACTGGCATAAAGTTTTGGTTGTTCATCCACTTCTGGACTGCAGTCCTGTTCCAGAACCTGAGTGTTAGCGTGTGAATCCGTTTTACAGATCTGACTAATCTGTATGCAGACTGATTGTTCCTTGCCTCTCAGGCATATGCACTCCGACTTCAAAGAAATCTCCTAATTAGTCGACTCTTACGACATGCTTTTAGGAGGGCAGTAGATCTATTCTTGTTTTCCCTATAATACGGCCCGAAACCCACACGGGGAAGCTGGGTATTAAAACTTGTATGAGTCCAAAGGATTCACGTCACAGGGTGCTATTTTTGTCTACCTTTCTCTCCCTCTCTCTCGAGAGAGAGGTTTGAATCCCTTACGTCGCCTGCTGTTTTTACTCAAAATGAAAGGTAACATCAAAACCTTTGAAATAGAACACACTGTAGACGCTGCCGAATCAGATTATCAAGTCAACCTTTGTGTCAACCTGTCGAAGCTTCCCTCCCTGGATCAGCCACCTGCCATAGATAAGGGCCTGATCTGATCTACCATGAGTTTCACTTTCTTTCTAGTATAAGGCTTGTATCATCCCTAATGTTGTTTTGCGCCCGAAGTCTTTAGAACAGTGTGGGGTGTCCGGTTTGGTATACGCCGCCCAACATCCAGTGTTGACAGAGAACAATCCTCTTCCTGTAGTCCATACATTGGTGTAGTCGTAACTATATATGTTTTTAATAGTATTCCCAGGCATTATATTTCATTTTTTAATACAGTGTTTCTTCCAGAGCCATATTACCCAGCAACGATGTTTTTGAGAGTTCAAACCCAAGAGTTAGCAGGCAAGTCCATCCTGTGGAGCAGTCAGATAAAAAAGGACAGTAAACATGGTCTAAACAAGTCCAGACCTACTTGAGTGGATCCAAAGTTAAGTGCTCCAGCTCGAATGGTGGTGCTCTCAACAAGATCCTCATATGTCGTGAAGGGCATCTCAGGCAACTGCTCCGGCCTGTGGTGAGAGGAGATGGCATAGTTTTATTGACTGAAGCAATGTAGTATATGAGAGGATGAATTTTTTTTTTTTGGGGGGGGGGGGGGGAGGGAAGGGGGAGGAATATGTGAGGTAATGATTTCATGTTTTCAAATGAGATGTTTCAAAAGGCTTGCTATTTCATACTTGATAGCTGAAATTGTTTGTAATTATCACGTTATGATTTTGTTAATTTCGCTAATTGAGGGAAGATTACAAATATAAAATTATTTAGCCAAAATGTTGCTAATTTATTTAAGTAGGAGATTTCACCTAGAAGTTTATTTATCTAGCTGTGAAATCTCACATATAAACTTACCTAGCCAAATGATTTTACATTTAAACTTATCTAGCCACACTATTTAACATATAAACCTATCTAGCCGAACGATTTACATATAAACTCATCTAGCCAAACGATTTAACATGTAAACCTATCTGGCCAAATAATTTCACACAAAAACTTATCTAGCTAAACGATTTCACATATAAACGTATCTAGCCAAAGGATTTCACATATAAACTTATTTAGCTTAACTATTTCACACATAAATTTATCTAGCCACACGATTTCACATATAAACTTTTCTAGCCAAACGATTTCACTTATAAACTTATCTGTCCAAATGATTTCACATATAAACTTATCTGGCCACATGATTTCACATATAAACTTATCTAGCCAAATAATTTCACATATACACTTATCTGGCCGAATGATTTCACATATAAACTTATCTGGCCAAATCATTTCACATATGAACTTATCTACCAAATAACTACATACATAAAAAATCTCTCTCTCTCTCTCTCTCTCTCTCTCTCTCTCTCTCTCTCTCTCTCTCTCTCTCTCTCTCTCTCCTGTTGTACCCTAACAGGACATCACACAAGCGACAAATACACGGTGACACAAAGTGCCACCATGAGGATAAGGATCACCCATAGAGAGGTCTCAGAAACACCTTTCAGCCATTATGGAAATTTTATACCACTGCCTTATTCAGGGCCCCCGGCAAAAACCAGGGTGGGGCTTCAAATAACGAAAAATTTCATCCTACATGCGGACGACTAATACTAATTAAATATATATTTTTTCTTTAATCTAAAACATGTTGCCCATATGCTTATCAAGACAAGAAATCTCATATACATATTATCTTTATTTTTTTTAAAATATCTGTTTTAAAACGTAGGTAACCTAGAAATCTCATGTATAAATTCTAATGCCAGGAGATTGCAGTCACAGCTTACCTGGCAAGCAGGTAGGCTGTAAGGTTGGCAGTGTACGCTATAAGAGTCAGTAAAACAAAAATCCACCAGGCGACGGCCAAAATACGACCTGAGATAGAATGAGGCGCCTCCCGGTATCCTGTGGATTTGTACATACAGTCAAAGATTTTTAAAGATTGTTTTTAAATGTTAAATTTAAACCAAAACACACAAAAACAATTAAAAGGTATAAATAAATCAGGGGGAGATAACACCAAACTTAACATGAAGAAAATAACTTATGTTAGCGTTCAGTGCTTTATCTGTTATGTCCCTTGTGCGTTCGTGCCCTATTACTACCAAGTGGTTTTTAGTGGAATAAGTAAAAGTTAAAAGTTCGAAAAGACAAACTTACCTTGCCATGTAATTGTGCTGAGGACGACAATGTATCATTAACCAACATTTGATTTCGTAGGCGAGGTTCAAGTCGCAACTTACCCTGCCGTGTAATGTGGTGAGGACAAAATGTAACATTAACATTTGATTTCGTAGGCGAGGTTCGAGTCGCAACTTACCCTGCCATGTAATTGTGCCGAGGACGACAATGTAACATTAACTAACACTTCATTTCAGGGACGAGGTTCGAGTGGCAACTTACCCTGCCATGTAATTGTGCCGAGGACAAAATGTAACTTGAACAAACACTTTATTTCAGGGGCGAGGTTCGAGTCGCAACTTACCCTGCCATGTAATTGTGCCGAGGACGACAATGTAACATTGATCAACATTTGATTTCGTAGGCGAGGTTCGAGTCGCAACTTACCCTGCCGTGTAATGTGGTGAGGACAAAATGTAACTTGAACCAACACTTGATTTTAGGGGCGAGGTTCAAGTCGCAACTTACCCTGCCATGTAATTGTGCTGAGGGCGAATAGGTAACTGTTCCTGAGAGTGAAGCTGTTCTGGGCGCCCCTGGGGTCTCGTTCTGCCGCCACATTGCCCCACTCGTACGGGCTGAATTTTCCGATGATGAAGAAGATGATGCCAACAAGAAACAGCACGACGAGAATGAAAATCCAGTAGTCTGAAAAGGATACATATGTCATGTCAATAATGTGTCGACGCATGGTACCTTTCTTATTATTATATTTGTGTATCATCATCATCATCGCTACCATAGCTATCATTATTACTTCTTCTTCTTCTTCTTCTTCTTCTTCTTGTTCCTCTCCTGTTTTTTCCTTGCATAATAAAGCCAAGGTCTCCGATCAGTTGTCGTAACTTGCAGCCGCACTCCCCACCCCCCCCCCCCTTTTCCGGCCACATTGTCCTGTGTATCTCATTGTGTGTACGTATGCGAGTGTTGAAATCTGTCTGTCTGACTGCATGTCTGTCTGTGTGAAATATGAGTAGTCAGTGGATCTAAATAAAAAAAGGGCTTGAGTGTACACATTGTGAGCCTTTGAAAAAGTTATCTCTCTCACTCACTCACTCTCTCTCTCTCTCTCTCTCTCTCTCTCTCTCTCTCTCTCTCTCTCTCTCTCTCTGCCTGTCTCTCTCTTTCTCTTTCTTTGGTAATTTCTCTCTCCTTCTCTGTGTATACGTGTCTCTGGTTTAAGTGTATGTGGTAAATTTGTGTGTGTTGTCTGTGTGTGGTGTAAAGTGTATGTGGTAAATTTGTGTGTGTTGTCTGTGTGTGGTGTAAAGTGTATGTGGTAAATTTGTGTGTGTTGTCTGTGTGTGGTGTAAAGTGTATGTGGTAAATTTGTGTGTGTTGTCTGTGTGTGGTGTAAAGTGTATGTGGTAAATTTGTGTGTGTTGTCTGTGTGTGGTGTAAAGTGTATGTGGTAAATTTGTGTGTGTTGTCTGTGTGTGGTGTAAAGTGTATGTGTGGTACGTTTTGTATATTTGTGTATATACTGTGTGTGTGTGTGTGTGTGTGTGTGTGTGTGTGTGGTGCATGAAGGTGTGCATCTATATGGGTATATGTGTATGTGGTGTATAGTAGTGTAATTTGGTGTGTACTGCATGTGTGTGAAGACATGTGTGTATGTATGTGTTGTGTCTGTTATTGCTAGAAGGCGTAAGTGTTTGTGTTTGAAATGTACTGTGTGAGTGAGTGTGTACATGTAGCTGGGTATGCATGTGTGTTGTGTTGTAGTATGTATAGCATGTGATCTGTAGGGTACGTTTGTGAGAGTGGGCATGTCACTGGGTATATGTGTTGTGCGTGCGCGTGTGTGTCTGTGTTTCGTGTTTGAGGGTGTCCATGTCTTTGGGTATGTGTGTATGGTGTGTTGTGGCTTGTAAGGCATGTGTGTGAGGACATGTGTGTATCTGTGTGGTGTGTATGGCATGTGTTTGAGGACATGTGTTTATGTGTGTGGTGTGTATGGTATATGCTTGCAGGCGTATGTATCTGTATTTGATGTGTATGAGAGGGTGCATGTATCTGGTGGCTTGTGGTATGTTTGGCATGTAGTGTGTAGGGTATGTTTGTGAGAGTGTGCATGTATCTGGGTATATGTGTAGTGTGTGCGTGTCTGTGTTTGGGTGGGTGGGTGTTGTAGTATGTGTCTGTTGGGTAGGTGTTGTGATGTGTATTTGGGTGGGTGCGTGTTGTGGTGTGTGTTTGGTTGGGTAGGTGTTGTGGTGTGTGTTTGGTTGGGTAGGTGTTGTGGTGTGTGTTTGGTTGGGTAGGTGTTGTGGTGTGTGTTTGGGTGGGTGGGTGTTGTGGTGTGTGCTTGGTTGGGTAGGTGTTGTGGTGTGTGTTTGGGTGGGTGGGTGTTGTGGTGTGTGTTTGGTTGGGTAGGTGTTGTGGTGTGTGTTTGGTTGGGTAGGTGTTGTGGTGTGTGTTTGGTTGGGTAGGTGTTGCAGTGTGTGTTTGGTTGGGTAGGTGTTGCAGTGTGTATTTGGTTGGGTGGGTGTTGTGATGTGTGTTTGGTTGGGTGGGTGTTGTGGTGTGTGTTTGGTTGGGTGGGTGTCGTGATGTGTGTTTGTTTGGGTGGGCGGGGTGTTTCTGTGCTAAATGATTGTCAAGACTATTACTCTGGTACCTGAAGAGATGGGGCGGACCAGATATCCCAGGCCAAGATCGTTCCAGGTAGGTTTATGGACCAGCAGGCTGACACTGTTGGACAAGAAAGGTTTGGTGAAGTCAACAACCTCCTCCCTCTCCGATGTGACCGTCAGGGCAGCGCCTCCGATATCAGCTCTCTGTACCAGACATGCAAATGTTATTTCGTCATAAGGAATATGATGTAATACATCTCAGTAACAACTGACGTTTTTCTCTTCTGAATTTGTTTCTTGTCTTTCATTCCTTCATCTACTTATGATTTTCTCTGTCTTCTTCTTCTTCTTCTTCTTCTTCTTCTTCTTCTTCTTCTTCTTCTTCTTCTTCTTCTTCTTCTTCTTCTTCTTCTTCTTTCTTCTTCTTCTTCTTTCTTCTTCTTTCTTCTTCTTCTTCTTCTTCTTCTTCTTCTTCTTCTTCTTCTTCTTCTTCTTCTTCTTCTTCTTCTTTTTCTTCTTCTTCTTCTTCTTCTTCTTCTTCTTCTTCTTCTCTTCTTCTTCTTTTTCTTCTTTTTCTTTTCTTCTTTCTTATTTTCTTTTTTCTATTCTTCTTCTTCTTCTTCTTCTTCTTCTTTCTTCTTCTTCTTCTTCTTCCTTCTTCTACTTCTTCTTCTTTTCTTCTTCTTCTTCTTCTTCTTTCTTCTTCTTCTTCTTCTTCTTCTTCTTTTTCTTCTTCTTTTTCTTTTTTTCTTTTTTCTTTTTCTTTTTCTTTTTCTTCTTCTTGTTTCTTTTTCTTTCTTTTTTTTTTCTTGCTTCTTCTTGCTTCTTGTTTCTTCTTGTTTCTTTTTCTTCTTCTTGCTTCTTCTGCTTCTTCTTGTTTCATTTTCTTTTTCTTTTTCTTGCTTCTTCTAGTTTCTTCTTGTTTCTTTTTCTTTTTCTTCTTCTTGCTTCTTCTGCTTCTTCTTGTTTCATTTTCTTTTTCTTGCTTCTTCTTCTTCTTCTTCTTCTTCTTCTTCTTCTTCTTCTTCTTCTTCTTCTTCTTCTTCTTCTTCTTCTTCTTCTTCTTCTTCTTCTTCTTCTTCTTCTTCTTCATTCTTCTTTCTTCTTCTTCTTCTTCTTCTTCTTCTTCTTCTTCTTCTTCTTCTTTTTCTTCTTCTTCTTCTTCTTCTTCTTCTTCTTCTTCTTCTTCTTCTTCTTCTTCTTCTTCTTCTTCTTTTTCTTCTTCTTCTTGTTTTACTTCTTCTTTTTCTTCTTTTTTTCCCTCTTATCTCCCCAGCACACACACAGGAAGGTACGTTCGTCACCTGACTGTGGTGTAAAAAGCCAAGGTTTTAGACGCCCCGCCAACAGCATGTGACAGAATTATATAACAAGTTACACACTAGACTTTTCAGACAGTCGATGACAATGATGATTATTACAGCCATCTGTTACACTTCTTCTGCCACGCTGACTCCCAACACTGTCTGTCACTCTTGACGATTTGGCTGGACTAACAACAGCTTGCATAGGCGCCGCTGAATGATGCAGGTCGGGGAGCTCAGAGATCGTGTGTCTCTTGCCAATATGTTTAGGGACGCTGAGGCTCCCTTTGACACCCCCCCCCCCCCCCCCCTAACCTTCTCACCCCTATTCCAACAAAAAAAAACAATTACTACTAAATTCATTCTAACATTTCTGCTGCTGCTACTACTACAAACTACTACTACTGGCACTGCTGCGTCTGCTGCTGCTGTTGCTGATGCTGCTGTTACTATTTCTACTATTACTAATACTGCTGCTGCTACTGCTGCTGCTGCTGCTAATACTATTACTAACGTTTTTACTCCTATTGCTATTACTGCTATTACTATAACAGCTGCTGCTACTACTACTCTCTGCCTCTCTATCTATCTTCCCACCCCCCTCTTCCTTCTACTTTTACTGTGCCCACTACTTCCACAATAACGATTAACAATAACAACTACTGCCATTACTACTGCGACCACTACCACCACCATCACTACTACCACCACTACCACCACCATCACTACTACCACCACCACTACTACTACAGCTACACCCATCACTTCCTCCACCACTACTAGTGATGCTGGCTTTTCTGCTACTGCTACTATGTATTCGAATGATCAACAACGGTTGCTACAACATGTGTTAAAAACCGATCCTTACCCCAGCAACGACGTCACCAATGACCCCGGTCCAGCCACTCTGCATGGTGTTGAACCCATGGATCTTCTCTGCCGGCTGGCGGAACTGAAAAGTAAAACCCGCCTTCTTGGAAATCTCGGTGATGAGCTCCACCAGAAAGCCCTCGTACCGATCGTCCGGGGTTCGAGTGATGTAAGGTTCCTGGGTACACCATTGAAAGGTTGGAGGGTTAAGGTTGTACACAAATAATAAAAAACAGTAAAACAATCATTAGGACACTGCTAAACTTCTTATACTGGTGCCTGCGCAGAATTGAGGGAATTCAATGGTGTGGCAGAATAACTCATGTTCAGCTCGAAGAGAAATAATTAAACAAGTTCCAGTGGACCTGAAAGTGAAGAAAAGACGCTGGCGTTGGACAATTCACAGGCTGGGGAAAAAAATCTGAGAACAATCTAACTAGAATGTTTTGTGCTGGAACCCACAAGGGCATAGACATAAAGGTAGAGGGTAAAGTTAAAAAGATGGGGAGGACGTAGGGAGTGCCCAAGCCAAAAACAGAACGACCTGACGTGAGTTAGCTGGGGCCCCATGCTCCATTGGGGGATAGAAGACAGAAGAAGATATAGAATGACTGGTTTTAGAATGAACGGCTAACTATACGAAATATGATAGAACGATATAGTTAATTTAAACAGATATCATACCAGACAGTGAATGTTTGTCTGTCTATTTATCTATATGCATGCCAACCTATCTAAATGAAAGTATGTTTCTTGGTCTGTATGTTTCTTGATTTATGAGTCCGCCTCATTGACTGTTCGCTGTCGATTCAATATATCTGTCTACTTCTCTGTCTGATTTTCTGCTCCATGTCTACCCATTCTTCTATTTGGCTATTAGAAATATCAGTTAGATTGATTTTTTTTTTTTTTTTTTAGAATCCTCTACCCGCCTGCC